GTCTGTAAAACCGGGAACAATCACATCCCACCACTCTGAAGCTCGGTTAAACGTCCAAACAGATGGTCTGTTGCGGTGACTTTTTTGCGAAATGTGGAATCTCTGTAATACACAGAATACGCATTTTAATATGTTATACTTGCAGTTAAGTTCATTATTTGCTTTGTGACAGAGATAAACGTTTTAGATGCTTACCCTTGCGCGCCGTCAAGCAAACTAAGTGTTGTCGTCGTCTGTGTGTTGTTGTAAGAGTTCCCGAACTCTCTTGTATTTTTTAGCTGGGTTTCGTTTGGCTGCCATCAGCCTCTTTTGAAACAAACTCCTTCGTCTTGCAGTTAAAAACATCCACATGCCGAGAATGAAGAACACCATTCCATCGATATGCTCCATTGTTGTGTGTTTGTTTGTGGTGCGTTTACGATGATGTCACAGCAGTAGAGGCAGCGCAACTATAATGACATGTGAATAATCCCGCCCACTCTAAAGCGGTACTAAACTGCAGTGGAAACGCAAACCGAGCCGAGCCGTGCAGTACCATGCAGTGGAAAAGCGCCAAAAGTGGAACTGGGGGCTCAGAGGGATGAGATGGAGCATGGAACTCAGGGCTGCATGGCAGGGCTGATGGTGGGTCTGAGGGGCTGAAGGGAGCTAGCGGAGGCAGAGACGAGGGAATGGCTGGCTTTGGCTGAGTGTTCAAGATAAGAACACTAGGTGTGGAAGCAGGCTCCATGACAACAATGGCGGTGACGATGACAACTCATAGATGAACATGGATGGTGGCAACAAAGCACATTCTGTGATGGACAGGACTGGTGGCAAAAAGAACATTCTCTGACAGACAGGACTTGAGGTTGATGATGAAGGCATTTCTTTTTCCCAGTCTACTAGCCATTCCTCTGCATCCAGCTCTGCTAAAATCCACACTGGCATAGATGTTATGGCTGGCTCACACACCTAGTCAGCCAGGACTTCAGGCTTCTCCTCCAGGAAGGATATGATTGCTGGCTCTGATTCAATAACAGACATTGGCTCAGGCTCGATTTTTATGGTGGAAAGAAGTTGGGTCTCTTGGTCTGCGGTGGGCTCTGGATCTATAACCACAGTAGGTGCTGGGTCTGGCTCTGGGATGGTGATTGATGTTGAGTGGAGCTGGATGCTGGCTGTGGAATCCTCTTCCACATCACCCATGGTAAAAGAGAATCCATTTATCCAAAGGGCGAAATTCTAGTACTCGATCACCATCCAGCAGGAATTTCCCCAGGGCATTATCAGTCAAATCTCATCTTCCAATGTGATCCAGAACCCCTCCATTAGTGAGATGACATCACAGGTGGCAAGGTAGGTGATTCTGATTAACTCCATGTATTCTTCTAGCTCTCTTCCTTTTGGAAAAGTAAAAATCACTACTCCTTAGGGCCTGTGAAAATCCCATATTTTGGCAAAGATAACAGAGGCAATCTCCATATCTTTCCTTAATCCATGGTAACAAATGACTGACAGTAACTGGTGCACAAAAGAAAGAGGCAACTTAAGAAATACAAAATAAGTCATGAAAACAAAACTAAAATAGGCAGAACTAAATGTAAACATGACAGTCTAATTGTGGTTTCTGAATGAGAGGCTTAATAACTGCCTGGTTGAATGGTGTTGGGACATGACCTAGAGATAGAGTTGATATTGAAAAGAGCCGGTTCTGCTACAGGTAACAACTCTTCCAGTAATTTAGTGGGTATCAGATCTAATTAACATGTTGTTTTTGATGCAATGATAAGCTAATATTGCTCTTCCTGTCCTATAGTTGTAAAGCACTGCAGTTGTTCTTGAGGGACAATAATTTAGGCTGAATCATAATTGTACAATCACAATTGTATTTCAAATATTAGCAGAATGCACATGACCTTATCAATTTGCAATACAGCATCCATCAGTAAGATTGATACCATGCAATGTAATTAATTCTAGTGTAAGGCTAAAATGATGAGTGGGTTTGGTGACTTTGCTTGTCCCCAAAGAAGTTACATCATTTGTATTATATGTGTGAATATTACAATCTCTGAGAATCAATACTGTATTGATGTTGACCGATAGGTTTGACAGAAAATGTGTGAATTTGTAGAAACTGGGCGATGGAGCAATGGAGGGCCTGGGCCTTGGAGCAGAGGGTTGTGGTGCAGTTGCGGACTTGGGAGGTGGAGCACTGGCGGGCCTAGTGTGTTGAGCACTGAACAAGGCCATGGTGGAGCAAGAACAGGAACATGAAGTGCGTGCAGCCCAAACACACAAGATGGCAACCCCCATCACCGAGAGTGCAGAAGAAGGTGGTAGGACATCTGGGACTCCCAAGACAAGAAGTGCGGAGACCACTAGACTTGCCATTGCTGGCACGTGGGCCACGGTCGGCTTGGGACTGGCCTCCGTGGCAGTCTCTGGTGTGGCAGCCATGACAATTGGAGACTCTGACAAGCCGGACATAACGCGAAGAGGCTCTGGCGTAGCAGCCATATTGGCTGAAGTTTCTGGTTTGGCGGGCATGACGTGTACAGGCTCTTGCTTGGCAGACATGACATTAATAGGCTCTGGCATGGTGGGTACTGCAAGATTGCGGTACCTCATCTGCATTTCCCACAGTAAATGAGGAACTGCTTAGGAAGTCTTTGGGCCAGAGTCCATGGAACAGTGGTCTCAGGCATTAAATCATTCCAGTGATCAGTAAGTCCATTGCAAAAAAGTGGACCTTGAGGGTCCACCTGACAGCAAATTCTGCAAAGGTCCTCCACATAACTCTCCAGGGATCGATCTCTCTAAGAGGGCTGCAAGAGCTGCACTGCTGGGTTCATTTTAACGGTCTAGCTTTCTGTAACAAACGTCAACTGGAGACATGAACTTGTGTAGTAGTATTTGCAGTAACGTGAATTAAATACAAACTAAACAAAGACTTGGCTTGGTAAACATGAACTAAACATGGACATAAACACAGCACTCACCAACAATGTTACAGGCAACGAAGCTAGACAAGAGACAATGGGAACATGAAGGCTATTTATACTAACAGACTAATGACAAACAAGGAACACCTGTGAACAATCAGTCAAAGAACCAATTAGAACATAAAACACATGACTAGAACAACCAATCAGGATATGACCCAATCACAAGGGGCGCATATGGCAGAATAACACGAGCAAGGGAAGCACATGACAAATAGGAAGCATGACAGCGAGAAATACAAAATAAAAGATATGAAAATATAAACATGAAACATAACCCAAAACCATGTGACAGAACTAAACAAGAAATTATGTAACATTTCCGCAATATTTACAGTTGGTCTATTAGCACGCGAAAAGAAATTTTTTTCCTTTTTACTGAAGGTAAAAGTCACCTTAATATTTACTGATATTATCCATAATGATTACTGAGATGGCACATTCAGATGGGATTAAAATTACTGAGAAGCTCTGGTTATATTTACTCTATCCCACCACTCCATGTAAAACTAATCCTGTCCAAATAGGGTTTATCAAAGAACATAATCAGGCTCCCACATTTACATGATTTTTCATATGAATGTGTTAATGTGATGTTTTAATTAGACAGATCACAACTGAACTGTCTTTCTTCAGAGTGAATGCGCAGATGATTGTTGAAATTGCAATTTTCCTCAGTGTGGCAAGGTTTGGATTTTCTTTCCAGAGTGAGTTTGCAAATGTCGTTTCAGGTCTGTGTGATATGTGAAACTGATGTCACACTTCATGTGAATTTCAAGATTTTCTTTTCGCGTGAAGCTCTTCCCACACATTTTGCAGGTGTAAGGCTTCTCTCCAGTGTGAACTCTCATGTGGGAATTAAGGGTATTTTTCTGAGTAAATCTCTTTCCACATTGAGAGCATATGAAAGCCTTCTCTCCAGCATGGATTTTCATGTGAATGTTTTTGTGTGAGAAACTCTTTCCACACTGCTGACATATAAAACAGTTCTCTCCTGAGTGACTCCTCATGTGAAGATCAAGGTGTCCTTTACACCTGAAACTCTTTTCACACTGAACACAAACAAACGGCTTCTCTCCAGTGTGAACTCTCATGTGGCCATTGAGGTACTTTTTCTGTTTAAAACACTTTCCACACAGTTTGCAGGTGTAAGGCTTCTCTCCAGTGTGAACTCTCATGTGAATTTTAAGATTTTCTTTTCGTGTGAAGCTCTTCCCACACAGCTTGCAGGTGTAAGGCTTCTCTCCAGTGTGAACTCTCATGTGAATTTCAAGATTTTCTTTTCGCGTGAAGCTCTTCCCACACATTTTGCAGGTGTAAGGCTTCTCTCCGGTGTGAACTCTCATGTGGGAATTAAGGGTATTTTTCTGAGTAAATCTCTTTCCACACTGAGAGCATATGAAAGCCTTCTCTCCAGCATGGATTTTCATGTGAATGTTAAGATTTCCTTTTAGTGAGAAACCCTTCCCGCAGTGTTGGCAGGTGAAAGGGCTCTCTCCAGTGTGAACTCTCATCTGGACTTTAAAGTTTCTAGTTTCTGTTTTATGAGTCTTTGCGTAACTAAAAGATTTCACCCCAACCATGAAATCATGACATTTCTCATACTGATCTTTCTCTTCCATTTTATTCAGCTCTTGACTCTCTTCTTTCAGCGCCATCAGGTCTAGGGTGAACAGAAACAAGAACAAGTTAACACCAGTTTAATGACACAAACAACAGACAGGACATCAATTCCAACAAGTATGCTAGATCCTATACACAACAAACTATTGAAATAACCTGTAATCTCAGAACCTCTTCAATATTCTTAACTCTTTGCTTCTTTATGATATGTCCAAAATACTCTCAAGCTGAAAGTTATCAAAGCCCTTATAGTCCCTCATTAACACCTCACACGTCTGCGACGCATTACGGCTCCAACAAGGTTTAGTTCCATCCTCCACATGGCGCCAACTCACACCAGAAGCGTTTCAGAAGCGAAGCATCTGAATTTGCGAGACCACATGATTTGCCTGTCCGACGTGGTTTTTCTTGATTTTTGGGGTTCTACCATGGGTAATGTTTTATGTTATGTTTAATTGTGTTTATTGTTGTGTTTATTGCAATGCCCTACTTTGTTGTGCTGTAGATTACAGTTAATACACTTCGAAGTCCAGTTATGAACCACAAGGATAAAATATGTATAGCTGTGTTTTAGTCATTTAAAAAAACACCCTTAATTATCTTGTATCTATATTTCAAATTCAGTCCCTGTGAGCAGGAGGAGAACACTGGCATTTGTTCTCCTACTGAAAAGTCTACAGAGGGGCAGAGGGAGATGGTATTGGGTGCATTCGCTCAACCAACGAAGGAGACAAGTTCTTTTTCATCATCTTGTGGCTGAACTGAGGCTGGACAGCCAACGCCATCATCAGTGTAGAGCAGAAGGATGAACTTCTGTCCCTCATTGGCCCAGAACTGACCAGACAATCAACAAATTACAGAGCTGCCATAGAACTCAAGTAAGCAAGTGTGAAGCGATCACAATTATAATACGACTACAGAGCAGTATTCTCAATCATGAATAAAATCAAGTATCTTGATCTCCATATTAGTTTAATTTAAAGCATTTATAATGTAAAGTTAAATATTAAGTTTGTGGTTGCAGAGAGATCTACTGTGTAATTGATTAAATACAATGTTATTATGATATAGCATCTGATTCATCTCAGTTTCTCCACAGCATATAAGGGAAATAAATGAAATCAAGCGTGAACTTTCTGTTAAAGTGCATTATATTAAAGAATGGTGACCGAAAAGGATTGTGTTGATGGTGGGTTTAAAGCAATTGATTTTGACTGTCTGCCACACGAAATGAAATATGAAATATTGACAGGCCGTCAACAAAGAAATCATGAACACATACACAAACAAGAGGACCAATGAAAAATTTAAAACATTTTATTTAATGTTTTGAAGCCGAGACCTAGTCTTAACACTTAGGTACCTTTATGAAAAACCCCTTAAAGCAACTCTTTTTTTCATTTTGAATGTGTCAAAATTGACAGAATGACATCATTTTACTTTTATTCTTAGACTTAAGTGTTAATAACTAAGGACTAAGTGTAACTGGTGTTGTCTGCGTTGTTTTTGATGGAATAAAAAGACATCAGCTGACGGTTCGACCCTTCATTTAATCTCTGATAAAAGATAACAGTCTTTATGATGTGAATTTGCCCTTTGTTGTTTCTGTTTCTCTCCCATGCAGAGACAGTGAAGAAAATGAGGACAGGGATAAAACTTGCAAACATTAAAATTAATTTAACAACATTAGTGACAAAACAGGAACTTAAGATCAACACTGCATTCAAAAAATTAAAGGGGAAGATGCAGAGATACGGACAGCACATCAGGGATACATTTTAACATTTTTGTGTAATTTGTATTTCATTTGGAAACCAAGGTCCTAGAGTCTGGAGGAAGGGTGGAGAAGCTCATAGCCCAAGTTGCTTGAAGTCCAGTGTTAAGTTTCCACAGTCTGTGATGATTTGGGGTGCAATGTCATCTGCTGGTGTTGGTCCATTGTGTTTTTTGAAAACACTGTGCATTGAATGTATTTAATACACGAGTTTCACAATTTGAGTCGAATTACTGAAATAAATGAACTTTTTCACTAATTTATTGAGATGCACCTGTATATGAACATAATACTTTCCATACCCCGAAATATACCTTAGGAGGTTGCTTAAGATATACCTTCTTATGTGCGACGTTACCAGGTGCTGTCCACGGTGGTGGTGCTGAACTGGTTGATATCAATGAGAATCGATTATTCATTCTGTGCACGGGCTGCTTCACTGCATTATGTGAGAAAGCGGTGTTCTTTATAAAAGAAGTGTTGATTTTAAATAAAGACACAGAACTCTTTCCTGTTAGAACGCAACAAACTTGTGTGAAACTTTTACTTTTGTTTTGCAACATACTTCTCATCAGGGAAGAAAACCAAGAAAGAAAAATATATTCCCAGAGCACCTCCCAGTGGTCACCACATAAAATACAAGGAAAGAAAACCTACATGAGTCACTGCTTAATAATTTAACAGCTTTTAACAGAAGAAAAAAAACTAAATAAAAAATAACACTTTATTCCGTCTGAATTTTACAAAGTCTTTTCTAATTTGCTAAGCCCAATTTTACTTTAGTTTTTTTCAGAAAGTCTTAAAAATGGTTCTGTCAGGACCACTATCGTCAAAATGACAGACACTTAGCATAAAGTTTGGTTTGGCGGTATGGTTCTGTTCTGGGCAAAAAACCTCCCTGCCCATCCATGCAGCCTGTCATGAATGAGCAGGGAGAGCAGCAATAATAACCCCCCCAGGGTTAACAGAACAGAACAAGGCAGATATCATTAATGTACTCAATGATATTTAAGTGTAACACTTTATTCAAGATAAAGGAGTCTGATTAGCAAGGAATATCAGAAAGCTAAGTCCTGACTGTGGCAAAAGGTGGAGCTGGGGATGGAGGAGGGTAATTTGCTCCGAAGCAAGCTGAAAAGCTGCTGAATAATACTGAATACAGCTTATATAGGAATGCCGCGATAGGTGTCGTATTCCTATAGGTAGATGTGATCAGCTGAGAATCAGCTGATGCAAGCTTGACTCACGTGACCTGCCAGAACTAACGCTAAAGCTTAATTTGTTTGCCTGCAAGCCTCTATCAAGCGATGATTTCGCTGCTCCTAAAGAAAGGAAATAATCCATTAGCATGTGGTTCATATCGTCCTATCTCTCTACTAAATTGTGACTATAACATCTTAGCCAAACTTTTATCTATCCATTTAGAAAATTCTGTGGGTCAAATAATTTCACCTGATCAAACTGGCTTTATTCAGGATAGATATTCTTTTTCTAACATCAGATGCCTTTTTAATATATTGTATTCTTCCCATTCAGATGATCCAGAGGTGATACTATCACTTGACGCAGAAAAGACATTTGATCATGTTGAATGGAACTATCTCTTACAGGTCTTAGGAAAATTTGGATTTGGCCCCATATTTATATCTTGGATTAAAATTTTATATGTGGCCCCTAAAGCTTCTGTACGCACTAATAACTCTTTTCAGAGTATTTCAAACTACATCAGGGCACAAGACAGGTTTGTCCCCTTTCCCTATTGTTATTTGCCATAGCTATTGAACCTCTAGCAATTGCCCTACGTTCCAGTGCACAGGTTTGTGGTATCACCCGTGCACGTACAGTGCATAAGGTTTCTTTATATGCAGATGACCTTCTTTTTTTATCTAACCCTCTTACTTCAATTCCTCAAATTATTTCTATTTTAGATACTTTTAGTAGTTTCTCAGGATACAAACTAAATTTCTGTAAATGTGAATTGTTCCCAATTAACTCATTTTCCTTTCAAATGTCATATTCAGACTTTCAGTTCAAGGTTGTCAGAAATCGTTTTAAGTACCTGGGCATTCAGGTGACCCGTAAATACTCTGACCTGTTCAGTGCTAACATTAGTCCTCTACATAACCATGTCAAGTCTCTCTTCGTGTCCTGGAAATGTCTCCCTTTATCTTTGATAGGAAGGGTGAATGTTATCAAAATTAATATCCTTCCTAAATTTTTATTTTTTTTCCAGTGCCTTTCTATATTTATTCCAAAATCTTTTTTTTTTCTTTTTTTTACAGTTTTGCAGCGAAATATTTCTTCTTTCATATGGAATAAGTCAAAATTAATGAATCAAGGTCACCTTATGAAACCAAAGTGTTTGGGGGGCCTGGCTCTGCCAAATTTTCAAACCTATCATAGGGCAGTGAACATTAGGAATCTGTTATATTGGGTGCAGCAGGATTTACAAGTAAAGAAGTCTCAGTGGGTACTGATGGAAGCTGCCGCTTGTACTCCAGCAACTTTAACATCCTTACCAAGTGTACCAGTTCCCTTTAAGTATATAAATTAATGAATCAAGGTCACCTTATGAAACCAAAGTGTTTGGGGGGCCTGGCTCTGCCAAATTTTCAAACCTATCATAGGGCAGTGAACATTAGGAATCTGTTATATTGGGTGCAGCAGGATTTACAAGTAAAGAAGTCTCAGTGGGTACTGATGGAAGCTGCCTCTTGTACTCCAGCAACTTTAACATCCTTACCAAGTGTACCAGTTCCCTTTAAGTATACTACTTTAATTTTTTTTAAATCCAGTTGTTAAGGATTCATTAAGGATTTGATCTCAATTCCGTTTAGTGTTAGACCTAAAAGACCCTTGTACTATGGTGCCGTTTTTTTTGCAATATTTAATTTCCACCCTCTTTGATGGATAGGGCTTTTAACATCTGGAGGGAACATGGCTTAGCTACAGTTGGTCACCTATACATTGACAACAATTTTGCATCCTTTACACAAATTAGAGAAAAAATTGACTTACCCAGCTCCCATTTATTTAGATACGGAATTTTATTCGTAAGCAGTCTCCTAACTTTCCTCTTTTGCCCACTAAAAATATACTTCATGATATATTAGGCCTGTATGCATCTTCGAAAGGGATTATTTCTCAAATCTATACTATAATTAACACAAAACAGTCCCCGTCAATGCATCCATTGAAGGCGCTCTGGGCGGAGGAATTGAATATTGTTACGGGGCAGACAAGACGTGAGACGTGCGGATCCCTTTGCAAACTTTATTCACAGG